GTAGTAGTAGTAGCAGTAGTAGTAGTAGTAGTAGTAGTAGTAGTCGTAGTAGTAGTAGTAGTAGTAGTAGTAGTAGTAGTCGTAGTAGTAGTAGTAGTGGTAGTAGTGGATGTTGTATTTGTGGTGGTAGTGGTAGTAGTAGTAATAATAGCAGTCGTATTTCGGCGTAACGAAAGTTTTTTGAAAACACGGCAGACCTCCAGACGGCCCAGACAGGATGCCTGGGCGGCTTCATTGCCCGAAGATGGTTCCACGACGGCCTCAGACGGGTACGAAGATGACCTCGGGGCGACCCCAAGAAGACCCCGTGGCCCCTGCAGGATCCAGACGCAGCGTCGAAATGGCCTGAGGGCGAATCCAAGATGGCCCAAGATGTGAGCGATGCCCCGGAGACCAGGCGCGGTGGCCCAGCGACCCCGAGATGGCCGGAGCATTCCCAGAGCACAACACCATGGTCTTAAGAGGACCTGGAGATGATTTCAAGATGACCTCCAGACGACCCGAACACGTTATACATTCGCGGGATTCGGTCCCACCGCGGGATTTATCCAGACCCTGTTTTTCATGGGTGGGCTTTATGGTTGGCTGGACTGCAACTATGTTATTAAAGGGGGAACTACTCGCCAAGGATCCCGCCGAGACCACGCAAGAGGGATATTTTGCTAGGCTTCTAGGGGGTGAGGGGGGTTCGACGCATCCTGCCCATCGACCCCGTCGGGGTCGTTGCCAGAGGGCTGCAACGTAGGCGAGCACACAATGTCATCGGGCCCAAGTCAGACAACTCAAGGAACTTTCAGAGCGGCGATTTAGCAGTAGTAGTAGAGGTAGTAGTAGTAGTAGTAGTAGTAGTAGTCGTAGTAGTAGTAGTAGTAGTAGTAGTAGTAGTAGTAGTAGTAGTAGTAGTAGCAGTAGCAGTAGCAGTAGCAGTAGTAGTAGTAGTAGTAGTAGTAGTAGTAGTAGTAGTAGAAATAGTAATAGTAGTAAAGGTAGTCGTAGTCGTAGTCGTAGTCGTAGTCGTAGTAGTGGTAGTGGTAGTGGTAGTGGTAGTGGTAGTAGTAGTAGTAGTAGTAGTAGTATAGTAATAGTAGTAGTATAGTAGTAGTAGAAGTAGTAGTAGTGTAGTAGTGTTAGTACAATAGTAGTAGTAGTCGTAGTCGTAGTCGTTAGTATAGTATAGTAGTAGTAGTTAGTAGTAGAGTAGTAGTAGTCCAGTGTGGTGAAGTAGTAGTAGTAGTAGTAGTAGTATAGTAGTAGTAGTAGTAGTCGTATAGTAGAGTAAGAAGTAGTATAGTATAAAGGTAAAAATCGAAGGTCAGTAGTCGTAGTCGTAATTAGTGGTCGTGGTAGTGGTATGTAGATGAAGTAGTAGTAGTAAAGTAAGTAGTAGTCGTAAGTAGTAGTAGTAGTAGTAGTAGTAGTGGTAGATTTTAGGAATACTAGTCGAGTCGCAGTCGTAAAGTCGTAGTATAGTAGTAGTAGTAGTAGTAGTAAGTAGTCGTAGTAGTATAATAGTAGTAGTAGTCAGTATCGTGAGAAGTATGTAAAAGAAGTAGTAGTAGTAGAAGTAGTAATAGTGTGGTAGAAGTATAGTAGTAATAGTTGATAGTAATACTAGTATGTAGGCCGAGTAGTTTGTGTCCCAGTGGTCGCCGAGTATCCTAGTAGTAGTCTCGGTAGTAGTAGTAGTAGTATTATTAGTACTAGTAACTAGTAGTAGTAGTATTAGTAGTAGTATAAAGTAGTAGTTCATGAATCTGATAGTATAGTAGTAGTAGTATTAGTAGTAATAGTTGTAGTAGTAAGTAATAGTAGTAAGTAGTAGTAGTAGTAAAATAGTAGTAGTAGTAATAGTAAGTAGTAGTCGTAGTAGTAGTATAGTAGTATAGTAAGTAGTAATAGTAGTAGTAGTATTAATAATAGTCGTAGGTAGTAGTAGTCGTAGTAGTAGTAGTAATAGTAGTCGTAGTAGTAGTAGTAATAGGAGTAGTAGTCGTAATAATAGTAATAGTAGTAGTAGTAGTAACAGTCGTAGTAGTAGTAGTAGTAGTAGTAGTAGTAGTAGTAGTAGTAGTAGTAACAGGAGTAGTAATAGTAGTAGTAGTAATAGTAGTAGTATGAGTCGTAGTAGTAATCGTAGTAGTAGTAGTAGTGGTAGTAGTAGTAGTAGTAGTAGTAGGAGTCGTAGTAGTAGTCGTAGTAGTCGTAGTAGTAGTAGTAGTAGTAGTAGTAGTAGGAGTAGTAGTATTTTTTTGAATAACAATTAGTAGTAGTAGTAGTCGTAGTAGTAGTAGTAGTAGTAGTCGTAGCAGTAGTCGCCGTAGTAGTAGTAGTAGTAGTAGTAGTAGTAGTAGTAGAAATAGTAGTAGTAGTAGTAATAGTAGTAGTAGTAGTAGTAGTAGTACTAGTAGTAGTAGTAGTATTAGTAGTAGTAATAGTAGTAACAGTAGTAGTAGTCGTAGTAATAGTAGTAGTAACAATAATAGTGATAGTAGTAGTAGTAGTAGCAACAGTAGTAGTAGTAGTCGCTGTACTAACAGTTTTAGTAGTAGTAGTAGTAGTAGCTAGTAGTAGTAGTAGTACTAGCTGGGGTAGTATAGTAAGCAGGTATTATTATCGTAGTAGTCGTAGTAGTAGTACTAGTAGTAGCATGTAGTAGTGTAGTAGTAGTAGTAGTAGTAGTAGTAGTAGTAGTAGTAGTATTAGTAGTGGTAGTCGTGGTAGTAGTAGTAGGTAGGAGTAGTAGCTAGTAGTAGTAGTCGTAGTAGTAAGAGTAGTAGTGTAGTAGTAGTAGTAGTAGTCGTTAGTAGTAGTGGTTCGTGTCGTAGTCGTAGTCGTTAGTAGTAGTAGTAGTAATAGGTAGTAGTAGTAGTAGAGTAGTCGTAGTAGTGAGTAATGTAGTAGTAGTAGTAGAAACATAGTAGTAGTAGTAGTAGTAGTAGTAGTAGTGTGGTAGTAGTAGGGGTTTACTAGTAGTAGTTAGTAGTAGTAGTAGTGTGTAGTAGTAGTAGTCGTCGTAGTCGGAGTAGTAGTAGAGTAGTATAGTAGTTAGTCGTCGTAGTAGTAGTAGTATCGTAAGAGTATGAAAGAGTGGTAGGAGTATTGGTGTGTGTGCTGGTACTGGTCGTCGTAGTAGTAGTTAGTAGGAGTCGAGTAGAGTAGTAGTAGTAGTAGAGTAGTAGTAGTCGCAGTAGTAGTAGTTGTTATTAGTAGTGTAGTTAGTAGCAGTAGTAGTAGTAGTAGTAGTAGTAGTAGGCGTAATAGTAGTAGTAGTAGTAGTAGTAGTAGTAGTAGTAGTAGTAGTAGTAGTAGTAGTAGTAGTAGTAGTAGTGGTGGTATTAGAAATAATAGTACTCATGGGGAAGTCGTAGAAGGAGTAGTCGCGTATCGTGTAGCACCCGTAATATACCAGCAGTAGTGCGCGCCCGAGATCGCGCTCTTCCGACGCGATAAGTCAGGACTGGGCGTGCGTGAACGCACCATGCTGCTCCCACACGGTACTCGGACTTTATCCTTACGGCAGCTCGGCGCTTTCGCTTTCTCGCTAACTAACTTCGCTCGGCGCGGGCCTCGTCATCTTTCGTAACTAGCTCGTCGGGTCCGAAGCTCGCCGTCGTCTGAGTTTCGATTTCATGTGTCGCTCAGAGAATATTTGCAGCGGGTCGGCACCGCCCCACCCCGTCCGCGTCGCTATTTGCAGCGGGTCGCCCCCCCCGCCCCAACGGCGTCGCTGTTTGCAACGGGTCGACCCCCCCCCGCCCACCCGCCCCGTCTGCGTCGCTATCTGAAGCGGGTCGACCCTCCCCCCCCGCCCCGTCTCCCCGTCTGCGTCGCCATTTGCAGCGGGTCGACCCCCCCCCCCCGCCCAGACGGCGTCGCTATTTGCAACGGGTCGAACCCCCCCCCCAGACGTATGCTGGCCCTTCCGCTGGGGCCTTCGTTCGAGCCGCCCATGGGGCCACGAAGCGTGCAAGGGATGTCCCGAAACATACCCAGGGACGCACGCGGGCCCAGCCACTGGTGCCTTCGGTGGAGCTCCCCATGGGGCCACGATACGTGCGAGGGGTGTGCTGAAATGGGCCTGGGGACGCATGCGGGCCCTGCCGCTGGGGCCTTTGGTTGAGCCCCAATGGGGCTGCGAAGCGTGTGAGGGGCATGCCGAAATGTGCCCGGGTGCGCATGCGGGCCCTGTTGCTGGGGCCGTCGGTGGAGCCCCCCAGGGAGCTACGAAACATGTGCGGTATGTGCCGAAATGGGCCCGGGGACGCATGTGGGCCCCTGCCGCTGGGAACCTTCTGGCTGCGAGGGGGCCGCGGAGGAGCCAAACAGAGGCCCACAGAGCCTACTGAGGTCCCCAAGAAGTCCCCCCCCCCAGACGGTCCAGACGGCCCAGGACAGCTTCAAGAGGGCTCGAGGACGGCCCAAGACGGGCCGATAGGACCAAGGCGACATAAAAGGTGGCCCTAACATGTTCCCAAATAAAGACCCTAGAGACTCCGAAGAAGGCCGAGGGGTTCCCAATACAGCACCACGGCGGCCCAAGCGAGCTTCAAGGCAGCCCAAGACGGTTCCAAGAGAGCCCGAAGACATCCCCACCAGAATCCAAGGCAGGCCCAGGACGGCCCAGGTAGGCCCCATGGTAGCCACTCGAAGAATAGAGACGAACTGAGTCACATGCTACGGCCTTTTGGGCGGTGCTTGCAGCATCGCCACGCGGAGTGCTGCGCTGGCACGGTGGCGAAACTTGCCGCGAGCAACTCAATATTAAGCGCGCAAGAGGTGGCAACATCTGGACTCGATCCGAGCAGTCGCTGCGGGTTATCAAAATTTCACGTGCCATCCAGTGCGCGCGGAGAGCAGATAAGGCAGGAAGCTCGGGAGATATCAAGGAGGACAAGAGAGGATAATCATCTCCTGCGTCTGAAGTGTATTACACCCGTCTCTCCGAGTCGGCTGGCTAGTGCAGCGAAATGTGTGGAGCCTGAGATGGTCTAGGTCTGGCAGAAGCCTGGGTCGGTCTGGGATTATGAAATAGAGCTGGTGTTCGGTGTAGGCCATCATCCCTCTCCGAGTCAGCGTCAGCTGTCCTGTCTTCGGCCCGTCGCCGCAAGTGAGGAATCACCAGCGTGATATTATCGTATATTCGTGGACTTTCAACCCTGGCTTCTTCCATCGCCGTGCGATCGTAGTCCATCAACTCCGAAATCAAATCTAAAACCTTTACCACGGACGCGTTAGAGCCCGTGATCGTTAATCTGGTGGTGTCGCCAGATGGCTTCGCGACTGCTATCTCGGTCTCCTTATCTCGCCCGCCCCAGCCCAAAATTCTGCGAACCATCGCGTTCGGCACCTCGACGCTCTCGGACCAATGATCCTCGGCGCCGTCCCCAAAGACTGACATGCCGCTGTTATCAAACATATTGGAGATCAATTTGGTAGCACGTTCAACGGAATCGATGGTGCCACGGATGCAAGCCACTGAGGGAATAGTCGTCGTGATGATATCAATCGACGCGCCGCTCTCCTTCTGTAACGTCTCGACTGTAGAGCCACCGGGGCCGATGATTCGCGTAGACACCTCTTTTGATATCTTCAGCCTCTCCTCTACATCCAGAGTGCCGATTTCTTCGACTAGATCCTCGATGAACGCCTTAGCGATCATTACAGATCGCTTAGATCCAACGATCAGGAACACGTAAGAGGAAGTGGTGCCGCTTTCGTCCGAATAATCGATCCGAGCACCACTGTCCTTTTGGAACTTGTTCATCCTGGTGCCCCGGCAGCCGATGATACGGTTGATGCTGCACAGCGAGCTCGGCACAACGATCATGTCCTGCTCTTTCTGGCGCACCTCTGTTGGACCTGCCTGGGAAGCCCTCCAGGCCTGGTGCTCGGCGGCGCCACGCCTACAAGCAGCGCTGTTCCTCTTGGCGCTCCGACTCCGCTGCCTTCCGCTCACGCGATCCATCGCGTGCGATCGGTGGCTGCGGTGACCAGGCCACCCTTACTGAAACATACCTTTTGGACCAAGCCGCTCCAACCAGTGTGGTTTGAGCAAGTCAGGCTACGGCTCCAATCCCCGAGGGCGAGGAGGAGGACCCTCCCCCTGCCCTATCCTGCTGCTCTTTTCTTCTTCCTCCTCCTGCTTCTCCTCCGGCTTCTCCTCCGCCTCCTCCTGCTCCTCCCTATTATTTGTTTTAACTACGTGGGCAGTTGTCTTTGAATGGGCCACTTCCTGCAATGAGAACAATGACTTCTAGGGACCTGTGAAGAGGGAACTTGGAGGGATGGCTTGTTGCAACATCGTTGATGCGTCTTGGGTTTGCACTGATTTTTCTTCTCCTCCTCCTCCTCGTCGGCGCCGGGCGCTGATAGTTCTAGAGTTGTATCCGGTGCGGCCTCACTCCTTCTCCTTCTTCTGCTCCTCCCTTTCATCGTTCTCCTCCTCCCCCTCCTCCTCCTCCTCCTCCTCCTCTTCCTCCTTTCCCCCTCCTCCTGTACGGCAGCACTCGTGAATGCCTTTTGTGGTTCGTTCTTCCAACTTTCAGTTCAGTTCTTGGGGACTCAACCCACACGCGCGCTCCCGCGGGAGCAATCAGATGAGTGATGTTATTAGTCGTCGTATATCTAATCGTGATAAAAAGTATTAGGAATACTGGTAGTTGTAAAAGTAGAAGTACCAGTAGTAGTCGTAGCAGTAGCAGTCGCAGCAGTAGTAGTAGTAGTAGTAGTAGCAGTATTAATATTAGTAAAAAGAAGAAATAGTATTATTATTATTATTAGTAGTAGTAGTAGTAGTAGTGTAGTACTAGTAATAGTAGTAGTAGTCGTAGTAGTAGTAGTAGTAGTAGTAGTAGTAGCAATAATAGTAGTGGTAATACTCATCAGAATGACACTTGTCGTAGTGGTCTTAGTAGAAAAGGCAGTGGTCACAATAGAAGTCGTAATCGTAGCAGTAGTACGTAGTAATAATAGTAGTAATCGTAATATGCGCAATACGAAGTAATAGAAGAATAAGTAGTAGTAGTAGTAGTCGTAGTAATACGAATAGTAGTAATAGTAAGGATCGTAGTAGTAGAAGTAGTAGTAGTGATCATGTAAGTAGTGCTGGTGGTAGTGGTAGGAGTAGGAGTAGTAGTAGTCGTAGTAGTCGTAGTAGTAGTAGCAGTAGTCGTAGTAGTAGTAGTCGTCGGAGTAGTAGTAGTACTCATAGTAGTCGTAACAGTAGTAGTAGTCGTAGAAGTACTAGTGGTAGAAGTAGTAGTACGCGTAAGAAGTAAATACGAGTGGTAATACTAAAAATAGTGACAGTAGTTGTAGCACACATAACAATAGTTGTTGCAGTGGTAGTCGTAGTGGTAGTAATCGTAGTAATAGTAGTAGTACTGGTAGTAGTAGTAGTAGTAGTAGTAGTAGTGGTAGTTGTAGTACTAGTGATAGTAGAGTAGAAGTAGAGGTAGTCGTAGGAGTCGTAATAAGTAGTCGTAGTCGTAATCGTAGTAG